AATACGAAAGACAACGTATCCTATCGCGTATAATCAATACGGATAATGATTCTTAAGATTTATAGATGAGTCATCGGTTCGTTGGGAACGTGTGCAATTGCGTTGTTTACTAGCATATAATCATGTTACTCACTCCAACGCTATTTTTGTAAACGTAATAGGATTTTCAGTGACTAAAATCGTTAAATCTTAAGCCGCTTAGGGGCGTCAATTAGAAGCAGCGGTCAACGTTTTCAAACATCAATATACTGATTATTTAATAGTTTGTCCAGGTGGGGAATGTATTAAATAGGAGTCTCAGGTGGGGACTTGTATTTAATAGGAGTCCAGGTGGGGGCACTGTATTAATAGGAGATCCAGGTGGGGCTGTATTATATGTGAGTCCAGGTGGGGATGCATTTATAGGGGGCTCAGATGGCGGACTGTGATTAATAGGGTCCAGGTGGGGACTGTATTTAATAGTGAGTCCATGTGGAGAAAAAAGAGAAAATGTTTAATAGGAGTCAGGTTGGGGACTGTATTAATAGGAGTCAGGTGGGGACTGTATTAATATGGAGTCCAGCATGGCGGGGCTGCCATTATAGGACTCCAGATGGGGGACATGTATTAATAGGAGTCCAGGTTGGGGACTGTATTATAGGAGTCCAGGTTGGGGACTGTATTAATAGGAGTCCAGAGTGCGGGACTGTATTAATAGGAGTTCAGGTGGGGCGGCATTATTGGAGTCAGGGCGGGGGACTGTATTAATAGGAGTCCAGGTGGGGACTGTATTAATAGGAGTCAATGGTGGGTGACTGTATTTAATAGGAAGTCCATGGCAGGTGGGGACTGTTATTAATTAAGCGATCACAGTGCGGGACTGTATTTAATAGGAGTCAGTCGGGGATGTTATTAATGTGAGTCCAGGTGGGGACTGTATTAGATTAGGAATGTCATGCGGTGGAGACTGTATTTCAAAGCGGGTAAACTTTTTTGCGTATTTTGATTCGTTTCGTTTTGCCATGGCTAATATCTTTGTGTTGTGGTTGGTATTTCTAATCGAATTTATTTTTCTAAATCCAATCCTCTCATTTAGGTATATTAGCAACCTTCTGTGTTATTATCCCACAGTAGTTTACAGTATGTAATGTGACTGTGAAGGGGGTGATTATTTTATTTTACATGTAAGCATTATATTTTCGAGATATGGCGGATTTTAGGAAATTAATGAATCAATTTTTTCGCGTTATGTACGAATATTCATTTGAAGTAATCGGGAATTTGCGGTATTATGATACGCGGCTCGAGGATAACTCGATAAAAACGCGAGATGTTTGGCAAAGTTCGATAAAACGGTCTATTTTCATTTTCTGGTAGCAACATAAATACGACTTCTATAGAAATTTCAGCTCCGTTATAATAGGTACTCGCGCTAACGAGTGCGATTGTACTGGTACTCTAGTACTACGGATACTATAGTATGAGACGTATGCCTTCTGCTAAGACGTGCTCCGAACGCGGATCACGACGCGATGTTTTCTGATACGAGGGAATACACATCATCCAAAACAACCAATAAACGATGGATAATCACCGAACGTTTTATCATGGACGCAAGAATTCATCAAGTTAACAACGTTATAGATAAATTAATATGTTATTACAGTATATTTACATGTATATATATACTATCACTTACTATATTAGAAGTAGATATTAGGATCTATTTTTACTTTTTGATATATATATACTATTATAATATATATATACGCTCACATGCAGCAGGCACACGCAATATACACACAAAACACAACAACACGACACTAACACACACACACACACACACACACCACACACACACACACAACAAACACACAACAACACAACCACAAAAAACACACACCCAAATCAAACAACAACACACAACACACACACACAACAACACACCACCCAACACACAAAACAACACACAACCAACACACACACACACACAACAACACCACACACAGCACACACATTTTTCTTTTTTATTTAATCGGTCTCCCGGTTTGTAGTTTGGTTGTTTTCAGTTTTCTCGTTCATGTATCTATTTCACTGTTTCCATCCTTTTCATAATAATATATATTGTTATAATTATAGGTGTTAGATGTGATAAACGGTTTGTTTTCAATGTACTTCGATTCCTTATATATTCTAATTTATTGTCGGTTAGGGAATAGCGACGGGTAGCGGCGTTCCTCTTTGTGGAAATAAATAGTTTCGCGTCGCAAACGAATTGATCTGTTCGATATGTCGTGTCGATTGTTGTCATTTCGTTGTCGTGTGTTTGTATTGTCGTGTTCAACCGAACAGCCGAATACATATCGTGTATTGTCTCACGTTTAGCACGGCGGCCGATAAGCAAGACCGTCTCTCTCTACTACCCGATGTCGCACACAACAGCACGACCTGACCGTCATGCTCGTTCCGCGGCCCTCGCGTCGCCAACAAGGTGGGCTACAGCGCGATAACGTCCGAGATGCGTGACGCTCAGGAGTAATCCTCGATGTGCTTGCCAGCGCGCATCTGTACGAAGATCACTCTGGTGCTGTTCGTGTCAGATAACGGGGCGCAGTCGATGAAATTGCACGGAGGGGTCGTCCTGCACCAGTTCCGCAGCGTACACAGTTTAGAGCGTGCCTCAAATTCATAACCTATATTACTCTCGGACTGTAATCATATTATATATATATATATATATATATTATTATATATATAGCGCGCGTACAAAGAGGCGCTATCACACGCGCACACACAACGACAAACACAACAACACGAACACACACACACCAACACACACAACACAACACACAACACACAGCACACACACAACATGCACACTGCGCGCAGCGGCGCATAACACAGCACGCATGCTACGCACGCACGGATGCGCGCGGAACGGAGATAAGATAAAAAAACAGCGCATAAAACACACGCAATTGACGCACGCACGCACGACGACACCACAACACCACACCACACCACTATATTATATATATATATATATATATATATAGAGAAGAGAGATGATGAATGAGAGAGAGATCAGAGAGAGAGAGAGAGAGAGAGCGAGACGAAGATTCTTGATTACTGCTATATATTTACAGGTTCGATGACTTACAATCGGGTATATAATACGGCGAACTTTAAAAAAAAATCGCGATTTCCTTGGCGGGGTTTACGTGTAATCTATCGATCATACAAATTGATGGTATACATTTACAATTCGATATATTTTCGTTGTTCACTCATGTCGCTCTGTGATTTTCAGTGGGTTTCATCGAGTCTTAAATTTGATGAATGCTCAATTGTTCATTAAATCGCAGGCGAGAAAGCAACCACGTGGGAAGGGGGCTTCAGAGTGCCGGCTATCGTCTCGTGGCCTGCAAAAATTCCACCTGGTCAAGTGTCCAGCGCCGTGGTCACGACAATGGATATCATGCCAACATTAGCCGATCTCATCGGAGAATCAATGCCCAGCGACCGCGTCATAGACGGTTCGTCTTTCTTTCGTAATATTATCTGTGCGTCTTGACGATACACTTTGGCTGATGGCATTGAGTGCGGAAGGGGGTGTGTATAGAGTACTACAGATATGCACCCCCGAACCAATCTAATGACATTTACATATGATGGCTTCATTCATCCATGGGCTGTTTGTGTTTTTATTTTTTCATTATTTCATCAATACCTGTTGACGATTCACTTCGGCTACGGTGGGGGATCGTTCTTGTGATTATTTACAGATATGCACCCCAAACCAACCTGATGGCGTTTACACAGAACTATATACCCTCGTTTATGATATGGCAAAGACTCTCACGGCCTCACTACGTGCGCACCTACTTTGATACGCGCTCGCTCTGTATAATCAGTAACGCGGCAGTTGATTGCCCACGCTTGCATAGACTAGTGCCTGATTTTGTTATTCACAATTTAAAATTAAATTCGATCGCAGGTAAGAGCATCGTCGATATTTTGCTACGCGGGTCGCAGACGAGTCCGCACGAACTCATCTATTTCTACTGCAACGATCGGCTCTCCGCCGTCCGCTATAGAAACCACAAGGTGCACTTCTACACTTGCCAAGAAACCACGGACGCCGAGTACAAGGAGGAATGTCCCGGCGGAGTACCGACGGACCCGACGTGGTGTTGCAAGTGCATCGACTGCGTTGGCAGCAGGTTCACTGAACACAGTCCGCCCATCGTATTCAACCTCATCGTGGATCCCAAAGAAATATGGCCGTTGCCACCGTCAGAGGCGCTGCGGTCGTTGTTAGCTGACGTAGACGCTCTAGTGACGCAGCACCTGGCAACGGTAACAACCGTACCACCGTTGTTGACGGACGAGTGGCGAAACGATGACGTCATCCCATGCTGCGAGCCGCCCTCGTGCGAATGCAATTATCCATAGTAATAATTGTCATTAATTAGAGTTTGATATGAAACTGAATGTTTACTTAAGTTCTTGCCAGGGACCCCCACCGCCTATAAGTTTATGCTGTGTTCTACGCGTATCATTTTAACGATAATGTATAATTAGCTCCTCGTCAGATGTAATATGTCAGTAATATTGTAATAATGTTATTGTAATATTGTAATAATATTATTATTGTAATATTGTAGTGTTATGCTAATATTCTAATATTATAGTTTTATCAAATTTCGTTATACAAGCATCATCTAATAAATTAACGCGTTCATTTTTTTGATCGCGCTTGTTTCTCCTATCACACATTTTGACTGTAGCCTGAAGAGCTACTAGTGCACATAAAGACGTACAAAGTTATACTGTGTTAGTTATTGTGCTTACTAGACTGATGTCTGGGCCTATACGTACTAGGCTCTGTGAGTCGCTGAGAATCAACCCCTGTGGGTTCAACTATAGCGACATGTGGAGCCAATTTATGAGCCTACTAGTACTAAATAAGCTAGGAAATGTCAGAGCTGTGTGTGCCACGTCGTGGGTAGTCAACTATGTAGCGAAGGTAGACGGTTTTAGACTATGTGTCACAGTGTTACAATGTATTAATAGTGTAATACTGTGATTCTCGTATCCTGACCGCTAGCAAGTTCATAATGGGACCGTTTCATCTTGGCCAACTACACATCACACAACACAACACAGCACACACCACATTCACACCACACACACACACACACGCACGCACGCACGCACGCACGGCAGCACGCACGCACAACACACACCACACACGTACTCACTCATTTCTCTTCACAACGCACGCAAGCAGCTCATACACACACACACACTACACACACGCACACACACACACGACACACACACACACACACACACACACACACACACACACACACACACACACACACACACACACACACACACACACACACACACATGACAAACGTCACGTATACACGGGAAAGGTATAAAACGCTAATTTCCACAGGGTTTTCCCCATGATTCTCGCCCAAGGCTATTAGCACAACCACCATACATAAACACCCATACGTATACACCCCATATGTACCTCTATTGATTACGGCATATATTGGGATACATATATATATAAAATGTGACCTTACTCGTATATAGCCTACGCGGAAAATGACCGCGGAGGTTTACGAAATTTCACCCAATCAAAGTGCGTCTCTCCCGGATCTCGTCCAATCAGCGGTGCCGGCATTATTTGAACAGGACGCCGGCAACAGCTGCCGTGAATAATGGCCGTTATTGTAATGAGCCGTCTTCAAACAAGCGTGGCACGCGTCCCTTGTTTGCCGCGGGGCCTCCGCCGTTAGTTTCACGCCATCAGTGGCCCGTGGCCGCCAGACGCCAGGTGCATTCCGCTGTTTAAAGGTCATCCCTCCACTAAAATAAACGGCGGGAAGTTTGGAAGTGATACGCAGCTGCGCCGTCGATGTGTATTTTTACGCGGAAAACGTCTCCGTCTTTATTGTCAAAAGCCGGGGGAGCGTTCGTCGTAAAAATTTCAATTCGCGGTGTATTTCGCGCGCTGTTTAGTTTCAACATGGCAGCTAGCGCGGCACGTGCCGCCAGCAGACGACAGGTGGAAGTAGCGTCCTGGCGTCTGACAGGCAAACACGGGCGCGGGATAATTGCGGGAGGTTCAGCATAATAATTTAGCTGCTTCAAAACACGCTTCTCGCGACGATGCAGCGAGCGCTAGGCGTTACCTGACGTATCATTATATATTCATTACGCACGATGTGCATAGTCTTTATGTTATATACGCCCGTCTATCTTACTAGGCGAGGTTGCATGCAGGTGCTGAACGCGATAGTGGGCAGCCCGCGTTCACGTATATCGTATTGGCGACAATAGAATGACCTCACGTCGCGATATATACGTAAATAAGCTGGTTTTCGTGATGTAATCTCGCGAACACGGTCATGTGACAATCTGCAGCAATGCATGCGACTACAATGCAACCCCTGTACAAACTATTCTTGTACAGTCGGGGGAAAAAATTTGGCCATGTCTCTACGCCACGGCAGCTGCCTTGCTAATTTGATCGGCAGAGCCGATGAGCGCACGCGGTCTCAAAAAGAAAGTTGGAAATTCGCACAAAACCCACGCCAACAATTCAGAAGTCATACGGTGATTTTCATTTACATGTGTCGCCGACGTACCAAAACTATGCATGATTTATAGCTTTTTTTTCATCGGGGACGTGTATAGAAGGAACATGTTCCTCCCGATGCTTATCAGGGCTATACCTGCATGGGCACATACGGGAGCAGGTGTGCCGAAGCAACCTTTACCCCAAATAGCTGCAATCAGGCAGCGCCACTCGGCCGTTAAATTTTGATTTCTAAAGTATAATACATCTTAGAATCGATGGACAGAGTCGGCCTGGCGGCAGACTGTTCCCAGCGGCAGCGACTGCCAACCGACGATGGCTGCCATTTCTCGCAAAACGATGTTTTCGTCCAGCAGTCGGCGACAGTCTAAGATCGACGTGGTCTACTTTCTTTTCTGTGCATAGTCATTTGCGGAGTGAAATATTCCGCGAGCTTTTCTAATGCTCGCACAATGGCGTGAAAGCCACGCGCACTTTTCCCAAGAACTCGCCATTCACTCTCCGCATTACTCCAACATAATAGCAGCTCGGTGCTGGATTAATACATCGCACTCGATATATATATATATATATATATATATATATATATACGTACGGGTAGAGAGAGTATTTTCCGCTAGGAGTGCGTAATGAGGAGGCGCATTTCGCGGTGTGTGAACATAAAAAATCGGATGTGAATTGCCGTGTCATAGCCTTCTCTTCCCTCGCGCGTGGTAATCGCGTTCGGGTGTAAACGTGAGAGAACCCGAGCGAGCGCGTGCATTCCGCACGGACTCTCCGTTCGCGTGCCCGCCTTGCGTGAATGGCCGACGATTACGGCAACGACTCGTTGGGCGCCCGCGTTTCTGTCATGCGTAAAACGTACGATGTCACTCAGCCCATAACACGATCCTGCTTTTCTTTCCACGCCATACGCACTCTATACACTACTACGTGAAGTAAGTGGTCTTTGGGAAAATCTCATCGTCGGCGTACGGATTGTACGGCGTATATGCGTGCGATATAGCCTTTTCTGCCTGAACTAGGTCGTCTTCGTGAAACGTGGGAATTTCGAGCATGCACCGTTAAAAATCCATTGGATTTTCGTAGGCAAAACATACATTCTCCTCTGCTTTCACTAGTGGCGTGAAGTCACCTGATGTAAAGAGGCAATCCTGTTTTGATAGGCACGCTTGGTCACTCGGAAATAACTGGTCAAGCCCCGTGAATGTTCGGGCGTGTGTGTGAATAAGTCTATTACCATATTTATTTACCACGTTAGCATACCCCTACGGCATAGTTACGATGGCAGGAAAGTGAGATAAAAAAGAAGTAATAATAATATTATTGATAATAAATCAATTATAATATGTAATTAAGTTGATCGTTATCGGTACGTACGAAGGGCATTCGTGTACACAAAATGGCGCAATCGTTTTGATAAACAACGCGCGGACAGATATCGCGAAAATTAAATGTCTCATATCGATGCTTATTAAGCACGCCCCGCAGCGTATGCAGAATACCGTATCGTAAAGACTCTAAACAAAAAGTGCATGAACGCATGTCGAGCTGGCGCTCGAACACTGCCGCTTAATAATGGCACTGTACGTACACTCGATCTGCACCGACGCTGCTTTGAATGTTAGGTGCTCCGTAATTCCCGCCATTTCTCTACGCCTGGCTGCAAGCGATGCGTCTGCCTGTGTTCATAGAGAGATACGCACTCGCCGGATGCGGCGCCACAGTATAGCGCTGCACTACTGCCTCCATCCATCTGTTCCGCAGTGATTAATAGCGTAGAGAAGTATGAGAGTTGGAAGCGTGGAAAGTAATCTCTTTGTGCTTGGTTTGAGTCCCCTCGAGCACGTGATAGCGCGCAGGAGGAATATATTCGACAGGGCAGGTGTATCCTGCTTATCAATCATAGAGAGCGGACAGCGATGAGATGCCGCAAGACGGTTTATACATGCTAAAATATATAGACAATCTCCATCCCCTTCTCTACCCCCCGTCTTTCTCACTATCCCTCGCCCTCTCTCTTTCTCTCTCTCTCTCTCTCTCTATCTCTCTCTCTCTCTCTATATATCTCTCTCTCTCTCTCTCTTTATCTTTCGTTTTCTCTCTTTTTTCTCGTCATCTTTCTTTTTCTATTTCTATTTCTCTTGCTCTTTCTTTTTCTCTTTCTCTTTTTCTTTCTCTTTCTCTTTCTCTTTCTCTTTCTTTTTCTCGTTTTCTTTCTCATTTTCTTTCTCTCTCCTTCCCTTGCACCTTCTATTTCTCTTTCTGTCTGTCTGTCTGTCTGTTTGTCTGTGTGTCTGCCTGTCTGTCTGTCTGTCTGTCTGTCTGTCAGTCTGTCTGTTTGTCTGTCTGTCTGTCTGTCTGTCTGTCTGTCTGTCTGTCTGTCTGTCTGTCTGTCTGTCTGTCTGTCTGTCTGTCTGTCTGTCTGTATGTCTGTCTGTCTGTCTGTCTGTCTGTCTGTCTGTCTGTCTGTCTGTCTGTTTGTCTGTCTGTTTATCTGTCTGTCTGTCTGTCTGTTTGTCTGTCTGTTTATCTGTCTGTCTGTCTGTCTGTTTGTCTGTCTGTTTATCTGTCTGTCTGTTGCTCTGTCTACCTTTCCTATCGCCATTTATCTTTAGCGCGCTTCTTATGTGTGTGGACATGGGTGCGTGTGTGCATGCATGAGTGAGTGCGTGCGTGCGTGCGTATATACGTGTGTTCGCGCGCGTGTGTATGTGTGTGTGTGCGTGCGTGTACGTATGCGTGCGCCCGTGCGTGTGCGTCTGTGCGTGTGTGCGTGTGGGTGCGCATGCGCGTGTGTGTCTCTGTCTGTATGCCTCTCTCATTCTCACGTTTGCTCTACAGTTTTCTCTCGCTATTTCTCCCGCCCTTCCACTTCGCGTTCTCCGCTCTCTCGCCCTCTCCTTGCTTTCTTTCAAATTATCGGTTTACAAGCCTTTCTTCGAGAATAAACGGCCTTTGTGCGATGGTTTTACGAAAAAACCGCACTCGAATCGCACGTGTTAGTTCAAATCACGCCGACATTGCTGGTCCGCCACACGTCACCTATCGAGTAGAAAAACAAGGATGCGACAACACAGACGCGCCGCGCGTGAGCGCCGTCCCCTCCCCGCCTATAGGCACCGACGCGTGGTCACGAAGGAGGAGAAGGAAGAGGAGGAGGAGGAGGAGGAGATGGAGGAGGGTGTCGGTCGGCACGGAGACAGGCGCGCATCTGTGGAGCCGCGCAGACGCGTACATGGGCGGGGTAAACAGCGCACGGCAACAACGTCGCCACTGTTGCGAACAACAATAAATGCTAGTACCGGATGATAAAAATGCCGGATGTCGTGCATCGAGCAGCGGATGTGCTGTGCGGGCCCTATACAGCTAGCAGCTAGCTAGCGCTCTACAGGGCTCGCTTAGTTCGTTAGCTGCAGACCCAAAGTTACAATGGCTCGATGTTTACCTGTGGCGTCGGCCACGCCGCATTTTACACGGGTGTGTTTTACCTTACCGATCGCAGTTTCTCCCGTGGCAGTAGAGATTTATTGACCAAAATAGGAGTTGTTTTTCTCCTAGTGAAGGGTATATTACGCCAAAATACAATGTAAATTTATAAACGAAATCCCCAACTGAACTTACACACGCGTAATGATATTTGGAAACGGCTAAAAGCAAATTAAATAGCATTTTGGGGGAAGTTTGCGGGATGTTAACGAGTAGGGTATATATATAACTAGCACCGCGGTAGAACGCCGTCAGACTAAGCTTTCCTTTATTGCTACCATAAGCGAAGGCAACGGCATACATTCAATTATGCGGTTTAACTATTGATACGGCAACAGCGGCCGCAGTGGGTGCCCGTCGGGAACTAGTAATTAACCTACGGAGAGGCACCTATGGATAAACCGCCCCTGAAACCACGCGATTGTACCCAAAGATTAGGTTAGCGTCTTTTGAGAAAAGTCTCCGAGATGAAATTGCCCGCACGAAAGAACCCCCTCCACCTCCCCCTCCCCCACCGCCCCCTTGTCAGCACTGACAAACCCCTACCTCACCCCGCTCCGCCACGCCATCGCGGCTCCCGTGTTTTGGTTCTGCACACGGCAAGCTGTCGACTTTCCCCCGCATCATAACCGCACGCGCGCGTTTGCACCTGGCGCGTCGCACGGGCTATAGGAAGTCTTTTGTTTGCCCGGACTCGGGCGCCCCTGAGTTTGCTAGGCACGGAGCCGGTTCACTGTGCGCCCTTGCTCTCAGCGCGTACATTTGCGGGCGCCTGGGGGAGGCGCGCAACATACGCGGTGACTGGCATTTAAAAAAAAGGGTCCGGTGGAGGTTTGAGCTGTACGAATGCATGATAAACAGTCGGAGAGACCGAGAGTGGGTTCTACGCCCCTGCGGGACTAATATACAGGAGTATGCTATTACGAAGCCGGTTTATTAGATGCACTGATCAACTTAATTCGCGGATTAATATTATTACGAAATATAAAACAACGTTTAATGGCATAACGCCCGAGTTAGTTTATAACGTTCATGGTGGGCGGGCGTTTGTTGATGCAAGAAAACTCAAATATAATGTAAGATATATAACAATATAATATTATTATGATATAATAAATCCAATATAACATATTTATAACTTGATAGCAATATTTTTGCTCTTTGGGAGATACTTAATAATATTATGAATATTTATACGAATATATTAGGAACGTTTCAATATTGTATCGATAATAATAACACGCTCTTTTTGGTAAAGTTAAAAAATTCCACACTGCCAGAGAGATATATTAAATATTACTATTTTAAAATGTTTTGCTGATCTTATTATGCAGATCGAAATTTCGGATTAATATTCCCTGTTGTTTGCGCTTATAATCTCACCTATAGGTTTGGTGAGCTCGGGCAATTTATTGAAAGTATGATCGTGGACAGCTGGCACGCTTGCAGCGAATATTGGTCAGCCAACATCGTTCTGATTCATAACACCATGTGTTCGCGAGAGGCGAACAAACTCAAAATACTGAAGATACTCTACAAAAATGCTAGATGGACGCCACGTTGTTTCGCGCCAGTGCTAGCAGATTGACGCCACGTTGTTTCGCGCCAGTGCTCGCACGCGCCACCATGACGAGCCTCGGCCCCCATCTAATCACGTCAAGCTAATCAACAGGTGTAGTTTTGAGAATGGTGCGGCACGGGCCACGCCACGCGCGCGCGGGGCAGATGGCACCCATAAAACGGACCTAATCAAAATATTCGCACGGGGGTGTAAGCAGTACTCGCGAGAACCCAAAATCAAAAATCGAACCATCGTCGATTGCGAATATCGACTTTAAACAACCACACGGCGCACCGCATTACAGTCCCTATGTCTTACACCGGGAAACCGCCGAGGTGGCCGCACACCCGAGTTACGCTGACCACTCCAGGTAGCACGGGTACCTGCGCGGCCTCAGCCGGTGCGTAATGGCTTGGTCCGTAATGACGACAGGCGTTTTCCGCAGCGCGTGGTGGACGCTGCCGCGAACAGTCAGCGTGCTACGCGAGACGGGAGCAGATGTTCAACTGTTAGTCGTTACCTAGCGAGAGACAGAGTAACAGCGAGAGAGAAATAATGAAGCACGGAATACGTGAAGCGCTATGGATTTGTGGCTTGTTTTACACGATGTTGGTGATTCCGGTAAGTGAAACTGCGTTCATATACTGTATATATATATATATATCTATATATATATATAATTATATTGAAAGAGGAGAGGAGAGAGATTCGTAGATTCTTAGACCAGTTCTAGTCTAAGCTATTCGAATGCTTAGAGAGCAAGAGAGAGAAAGAGAGAGAGAGAGAGAGAGAGAGAGAGAGAGAGAGAGAGAGAGAGAAGAAGAGAGAGAGAGAGAGAGAGAGAGAGAGAGAGAGAGAGAGAGAGAGAGAGAGAGAGAGAGAGAGAGAGAGAGAGAGAGAGAGAGAGAGAGAGAGAGAGAGAGAGAGAGAGAGAGAGAGAGAGAGAGA